GACAATGCGACGGATTTAAGGTTATGTCAAGGTACGTCTCTTGTGAATATCAATTGATTGTTAGGTTTTCTTTTTTGAAATTACATTATGACGCATTCACATACATTATTAATACAAATACATTTTCCATGGCGAGACGATGAGGCAACCACAAGCACTTCCACTGGTTCACCACGAGGAGAAAATGCACAATATTACCGTTATTACAGAGCACGGAAGCGAGCGGAGCAGGAAAACGGGTCGTTGAATAGAACTAGTGATCCTTCTACGACTGCTGATTCTTCTACAATTAACGTCGCAGGTTACGAAGTTTAACTTCTTCCGCGCGGAGGGATTCCACGCACTATTTTTTTTTTTTAATATTTCAATCCACTAACTCTTAACGATACTCTAATAATTTAAACAATAACAAAAATCCTAGAAAATCACACATCGTCTTGGGTCGCGTTCCAATATTCTCACTGGTTGAACTGGTGATACTGAAGTGAACTAGTCATGTGACTTCAGTTTCTCTTAGTTCGCACCGTAATTTAGGCAAAGAATATATAATGTGAGATCACTTGTGTGTACTCACTTATATATTCTTTGATTTAGGAACGATCGTTGAGGTTAGGTTGCCGTTAGCAACCAGAAGTAGACGCTCTCCACTTTTGGAATCTTTGCGAAAAATGTATTAGTGATTACAGATTTATTTTTTTTGTTCTATTATGTATTGGAAATTAGATATTTTTAGCATACATAAATCCTGATTCTGCTTAATAAACAAAATGTCTTCTTTTAGAGATACAAAGGCAAGAATCGATGATTTCCTGGAGAGAGCAGGTCAACAGAAGCAAATGATAGAAGCCAGGATCGAAAAGAACGTCTCTGATTTGAACAATAAAAGAGCTAACGATGAAACACTCTTCGCAGAATTCTCAGCGAGTGTTCAACAACAGGTTCAGATTTTCAATTTCATTTAAAAAAGATGTGTCATACCTTTATGGATGGTGTTTTCAATAGAAATGTAAACAATAACAATCTCGAGCTCCGCACCTACTCTAGTTCCGGTTAAAAAAATTGCAGCTGCTTACTTCACGTTATTCTGATAGGCGATGTTTTCAAACGGATAATTTTGTTTTCAATAAAAGAAATAAATTAGATAATTTCTGAGCTCAAATCTGCCGTACTTCATAAGATATTAATGTTATTATGTAATTCTGGGGGGTTTGGAGTGAAAATTTGTTTTAGTTTTTTAGAGAGATATTGTTAAAAAGGTGACATGGTTGCTAGATTTTGAATAACTCGCTTTTTTGGCAGTCTTGATATGGCCTCTTTCCATAAGTTTATTACTGTTTGTTCTTGTTGCAAGCTGTGCACCATCTTACGTTAGTGTTAACACTTTTAGCATTGTAAACACCAGTATTGTTAGCATTGTAAACACAAGTAATAAGTAATCAAATACATTGTTTGCACATATCTCAAAACACAATGATGCTAAATGGCTTTAAAACACAATGGAAATAGTAACCCGTAAATTTAGGCGGTACCGAGTTTGCAGCTTTCCCTAGTGTAGAAAACACCATCCATATATAGTGTCCATTTTTATAATTTGTTTTAAAAAAAATAAAATTGAAGACACCAAGTGTCACATAAGCTAATATTTAAATAAGAAAGACGCTTTTTAAACTTAGAACAATCAATTTTGAGGTAGGAAAGAGCAAAGTAAACATCTAAAACCACTTTCAGGGTGCGTAGCCAAATCTTTCAACAAAAAGTAAGCACATTTTAAGTACTTTTTAAGCACTCAAAAATATTTTTAAACACTATATACATTAACAAACTGCAAAATAATTTTTAAAAACTTTACATGATCATGATAAAATAATTAGTTTCTAATAAAGAACTCATTTCTTGATTGTATTGCTAAACTCAGTTGCGCGCGACAGCCCATAGAGGGCCAGGGTCTACTGTGTCCATCTCAGTTTCTTGACCCTGGGGTGCAGGAGCAGATGTTTCGGTCAGGTGATCAGCCGAAAACAGAACACCCAGTGTTTAGTTCCCAAGCATGCTTAATACTCATTTATCGACTTACTGAAGGGATTAAAGGCTGAGTCGACCTTACCCGGCCCTAGGATCAAACCCAGGACCTGTGGTACGGGAGAGCTCATCCACCGGGCGCCTCGATTACATTAGCCGCCATTAAAAGATCGATAGATTTTTCGGTTCAATTTCAGAGGGTGGAAAATGAAGATGGAAATTGAGAATATTTTGCAAAATGCGGCAGAGTTGCACAAAAGAGTGCGAGAATCTCACCGAACCCTGCTGCATGCGGACTTGCAAGTGTTTTATCAAACATGTAACATGATTGGCGCTTTCATACTCTGCTGAACGACGGTACTCCGAAATGCACTTTATAACAAAAAATCGACGCACCAAGAAGGAGTTGCCCGATTGAAACGAAAATTGGTGGATAGGAAGACAATTTACAGAATAGTAAATGATTACAATTTCAGAACAATTGAATAATTTATTGCGGATTTACAGTAGCAAGTTCAATAAGGTGTTGACTCGCCTCTAGCCTGGATACAAGCTGCCACACGGCGTGGAATAGACCGATAAAGCTCCCGGATGGTCTCTTGTGGTATTTCCTGCCAAATTTGATCCAATTATCGAACGAGGTCCTCAACATTCCGCGCCAGATGCAAGCGACTTCCCATCATATCCCAGACATGCTCGATGGGAGAGAGATCTGGTGATCTGGCAGGCCAAGGAAGAGTTTGACAAGCTTGCAGACAGTTCATAGCAACACGTGCCGTATGTGGTCTGGCATTGTCCTGCTGAAAAACCAGCCCAGGGCGCTGCAAAAGGAACGGTAGCAAAACAGGTCTTAGGATGTCGTCGACGTACCGCTGTGCAGTAAGTGTACCTCTAATGACGACCAAAGGGGTCCGGCTGTCAAAGGAAATGGCACCCCAGACCATAATGCCTTGTTGAGGGCCGGTGTGGCGTGCAATAGTGAAGGCAGGATCCCCCCTCTGCCCTGTGCGTCTCCAAACACGTCTTCGATGATCGTCAGGACACAGTTGGAAGCGGGATTCGTCGCTAAAGACTATACGTCCCCAGTCGGCATCATTCCAGCCTGATCGAGCCATGCACCACTGTAATCTGGCTCGGCAGTGTGCAGGCGTGAGTGCTTCTTGGTGCGTCGATTTTTTTGTTATAGAGTGTAGATTGTTGAATATGTTGTGAAAAAGGTTGAATAGAACAAACAGTAGAATAGATGGCGAAAATCGACATGGTAAAGAAAAAAAAATCTCGGTTTTGAAAAGGGAAAATTAAGCACTTTTCAAAACCACCCAATGAAAAAAGCACCTTTAAGGGTTTTTAAAAAACGAAAATAAGCACCTTTAAGCACTTTTTAAAAATGCTACACACCATGACTTTGAAGTTTAAATGTATCTACTCTCAGGGATCTGTCTAGGTTTTTCTGAGAGGTACCTATTTTGCGAAAAATTAGACATAATTCGTGAAAATTACATTAAAAAATTCACACAAAAATATGGATTTATCGTTTTCTACGTGATACAAAAATAAAATTTTAAGAAAAAGTATTTTGTGAAACTACCGTTTTTCCTAAAGTTTAATTTGTGAAGGTACCGCTAAACGGAAGTAAATTTGGCCTGGGCAACTAATTACAAAAATATAAAAGGCAAAAATAGTTTCGGCTCTAGAAACGAGAACTTTCCTTTCTTTTCTAAGAAAGGTTCTTATTTATATAGCCGAAATTATAGTATCTCCATTAATGTACAGTGCGCAAAAGAAAAAAAAGAACCATTATGAATAACTTTTGATTTAAAGATCGGATCTTCACGTTCGTGGATCTTAATGGCTCAAGAGGGTGACCTACTGTATGCTAATTAAATAATAAGTGAAGACGATACTTTAAGTTACGAAATCAGACACAAAAACGTACTTTCTCTGAATAAACATACCTCTTTTCGACGGATTCCGATTTCTGACCCCCCAAAATATAGGGGGGTCCCAATGGGTTAGTCAGGAGAGCGCGCCAAAGTTTGGACCCCTTTAATTTGTTCATTTTGCATATTTTGCTTATCTCGATGTATTTTGCTATAAATCTTGCTATATCTATTTTGCACACAATTATAAAAATCGTTTATCGAAAAATAATTCCATGCAAGGAAAAAAAAACTTTTAGTAATTATTTATTATCAGCTTATTAAATAATGGTCAAAAATTTCTGAATTGTTGTTGTTGTAGTTAATTTACGTCGCACTAGAGTTGCGCAATGGGCTATTGGCGACGGTCTGAGAAACAAGCCTATGGATGATCCGAAGACATGCTATCACGATTTTGATCTTCTGTAGAGGGGATGGCACCACCGCTTCGGTAACCCGACGACCTGCACGCGAAATCGAGCACTTTATGGTAGAACAGTTTAACGAGGACCAATACCGCACACCCTCGGTCCCTACTCAGACTAATCCAAGTGGCCACCCACTTGCGCACTGACCGCAGTCAGTGATGTTTGATTTCAGTGATCGGCTGGGAACCGTGTCTTAACAACCAGTCCACTGCAGGACTTGAATTGTAAGGTTTGCAATTTTTGCATCATTTTAAAGATTGCAATTTTAAATGGCAATATACAACATTTTGAGCGAAATCGGTCAAATAGTTCTTGAGAAATAGAATTTCAAAAAATTCAGATTTTTAAAATTCGATTTCCCAGGAACTATTCGACCGATTTTGCTCAAATTTTGTATTTTGCCTTGTAAATTTATGTTCAATGGTGCAAAAATTTTTATAGCTTACAACTCTACATTTTTTCGACAATTATTAAATAAAATAAAAAATAATTAATATTTACTAAAGATTATTTTTTGTGTGGCTAAACGAATTTTATTATTTTGCGCAAAAATAATATCAAGATCTAGTTTTTTACTTTGCGCACTGTACCTTCATCATGTTGCTTTTGTTCTTTTCACACAAAGTATACCCTATTCCCATTTGGACAAAAATGAATGTCTATAAAACACTAATTATTTTGCTATATGGCTAAATCAAAATGCTGATCGTTGAGAAAAAAATATTACTCAGAGTGAATAAAGATCACAATTTTAACTGCGAGATACAAATAATCTGACATAGCATGGACATCTATATTGATGCGACTCTCGTCGGAAAAGTCAATCAATTCGATTCGAGCTAGAAACTACTAATTAGGTGCTGCGAAAAAGAGACTTAAAAACCAGCCATAAGGAAATCCTATTATGGGTATGGTGGAAATTACACGAGACGGCTTATGCTTGCAACAGGATGTAGCGCATTGGTGGAAGTTTGCAGGTGGTTTCGAGCAGGCCCGTAGCCAGGGGTGGGGACCGTAGGGACAACCCCCCCCCCAAATTCTGGGATTCAAACATTTTAGTCTTTCTTTGAGCCTCTCAGTAAAAAGAAAAACAAAAACTGTGCAATCAAACCTTTTCCCAGTGCACCACCTTCGCTAGTGCATCATCTTCACTTAACCTTGTGGCTCATCTTTCCTTCGGTTAGACTCCTCCCCCGAAATCAATCGTTTTTCAGCACATTAATTTATGCAATTTCCGAATCTACGCAGATTTCATTGACATAGAAAACCTCATGGGAGAAATGGAAGTTTGGGCATCAAAGTGGAACCTGCGTGAAACCCTTAGTAGACCAGATACGGCACTTTCAGCAATGGAAGAATGTGACAGTATCTTTTTCCCAAACATTTATTGCTTGTTATTAATATTGGCTACGTTGCCAATCACCACAGCAACTGCAGAAAGAACTTTTTCTACTCTTAAACGCGTAAAAACAGCAACCAGAAATGCTACTAAAAAAAAGGGCTAACTTTATTAAGCATATTTCGGGATATTCCGGTTTGTCCTAAAAAAGTAATCGAAAAATTTTCTTCAAATCCCCGTCGCGTGTCTTTGTAAACTTTGTTTACAAATTGATTATAATTATTATGTAATATTAATTGAAAAATAATTATTATGTAATATTTTTTAATTACTAGTTTAACTTTTGCAAACAACAGAATAAACAATATTTGTTACAATGTTTTCCCCCTACTTTGCATGTCTGAAAC